AGCAGGACAGATATTGAAACATGTTGTTTTAAAATGTTTGCATTCCAGTTTCAAAAGTCTCAAAGACGGTTCGTTGCCTGGACTGTGTACCTTCAAAAATTTGAAGATCCAAAAAATATGACAGCAGTCCTTTTTCCAAACTGTTCACATATGTTTCAAATCTTCAAAGCAATAGGTTTGAATTTGCCAGCTTTGATTCCAAACAATTTTTTAACCCAAGATACTTGGAGGTGCAGGTCCTTCAACGCAAGGGTTTATGGTTTCATTCAAGAAAATGGGGCAACACAAATGCAGGCAATGAACGTAAGCACAACATGCCTAGAAAAGAGAAACGACATGTGGGGAAAAAAACACCAAGCCTCCAACATTGCTAACAAACCAAGCAGGAGCACATGGACCCAGGAAGAAACCAAGATTGAATCAGGTTGAAAAATCAAAAATCAAGATGGAGAACAAGAAAAATATCAACACGGAATCAAGAATAAAACAATAAAAACACGATGTTGTTACCCACCACGTCAATGGAAAACAAGAGTTTTCCGATTGTTTTTTTAAGAGTGAACTGCTGATGATTTTTGCTTGTTCCAAATCGAATAAAAATAGATGATTTTGAATATAACAAATCAATAATTTGGAGCTCATTGATTAGAATCAAAAGACGATGCCCAGGGAACCCTGACTGAAACCCTAAATGAAACCCTAAAGAAACAGTATATAAATGAAACAATAAAGAAACCCCAACGAAACGCTAAACTAAACTTTAAGGGAACCCTAAAGAAACCCTAAAGATACCCAAAATGACATCCTACAGAAAGCCAAAACGACACCCTAAAGAAACCCTAAATGAAACCCTAAAGAATCCCTAAAGATACCTCAAATGACATCCTAAAGAAACCCAAAACGACACCCTAAAGAAACCCTAAATGAAACCCTAAACCAGTTGTAAACATTACCTCCCCAGTATTTACATGTGGTTTGAAGTATCCAACTTAAACACATCAGTGTTTTTTGAAACACTAAATTAATCAACATTCCCAGCGTTCCATGTGTGTATGGTGCCTGTATGCAATTCAACATTGCAAACGGCATTGACATAAAACAATGCCTGTGTAGCATCTACTTGTAGTCTCAAAATTTGAAGAAAAGGTTGCCCCACCGGCTTAAAATCAATGAGCACCAGCAGAAGGCATGACAGAATAATCAAAGAAAGGATTCGCACCACTGGGGATACCATATTTACCAAAATAAAGCCTTCTATCACCATCAAATCATAAGTCCCATTTTGAGAAAGCCTCTGCAAGGCACCAGGGCTCAAAAACAAGATGCAGCCCACGAACCCGAATGCTAACACGTATGTTAATGGTACAGATGTCGAAACACATGGATATGCAGTCACGCAGAACACTTTTCTGAAACAGTTTATTTGAACAGTTTTGTACATTTTTCCCCTGTTACCATACCAGTGCACCGTAGACTGTGGAATATGGAAGAAGGTGGCGTGCTAAGTGTGGAGTGTGGGGTGTAGAGTCTGGAGTGTAAAGTATGGAGTGTAAAGTGTGGAGTGTCAAGCGTAAAGTGTGGAGTGTGGAGTGCTGAGCGTAGAGTGTAAAGTGTAAAGTGTGGACTGTAAAGTGCAGAGTGTGGAGTGTAAAGTGTATGGTGTGGAGTGTGGAGTGGAAAGTATAGAGTGCAAAGTGTGGAGTGTAAAGTGTGGAGTGAAGTGTGGAGTGCGCAGTGTGGAAAGTGAAGTGTTGAGTGCAAAGTGTAGAGTGCGGAGTGTGGAGTGTAAAGTGTAGAGTGTAAAGTGTAGATTGTGGAGTGAGGAGTGTAAAGTGTAAAGTGTGGAGTGTAAAGTGTAGAGTCTGGAGTGTGGAGTGGAAAGTATAGAGTGTAAAGTGTGGAGTGTAAAGTGTGGAGTGTAAAGTGTGGAGTGTAAAGTGTAGAGTGTGGAGTGTAGAGTGTAAAGTGTGGAATGTAAAGTGTGAATTGCGAAGTGTAAAGGGTGGAGTGTGGAGTGTGGAGTGTGGAGCCTGCCACGCAAAATGACGACAGAGATCTCCAAAATGTTGCGCCTGCCGCGAAAAATGGAAGCCATCTTCTGAAAGCTACGCAAGAGCATTGCCCTTGTCACACAGAACGACTTTGGACACATTATGAAACATGCTGGAATGTCACGAAGTGCCACGCCTGCCACACGAAACGATGCTACGCGACGTACATTGCGAATGTGTATACCACTGTGTATGGCCATGCCACCATGAATATTTAGGGGATCAAGCTCTGAATATTTAGGGGATCAAGAATCATCAAGAGTAAGAACTCTGAATACTGGGGGGATTACCATAGTCCATGTAGCATATTTTCACTACAGCACTACGGCACTACTATGAGTGATTTGGCACAAACTATGCGATGATGTGCGATGTAACATGTGGGACAACTGGGAAGACGTATGAGGTTGAGACTTGTCCATGCGGGGACCGCCACTGTGTTTCAGAATTGGCCAACGCAAAAAACCCCGTTGAATCGTGCCAGGACCTCAAGGTTTGCATGCGCAAAGGGTTTGAAGCAACCGATATGCTTGTTTTTCGTTCCACTCACTTCACTCACGTCATGACATGTCATGACAATGTTCTATCTGAACTACAATAACTACAACGCGAGAAATTCACAGAAGACAACCGAGACTTTCAGATCTTTCAGGCATCGGTGCTTGACTTCTCAACACAGGGTCTTTTGGCCATCGGAAACGAAGTTGGCCGAGCAAGGGGCCCAGAATGGCCCAGAATGGCCCAGAGTTTTGGTGGTTTTTCCTTGGCAAAATTGACACATGTTTGTGTTTGCAAACAGCAAACAAGTGCAGACTGCAAGCATGCCAAACTTATCCAAACTTTGTGCAATGTGGCAGGTGCTTCTCTATCGTTTGAAGCATTATTCTAAGTCCAACTAGATCCATCTCTCATCGACAAAGTTTCACATGGAGCTACTTCCGTTGCAGCCAGAAATGCACAGCGTTTGCCTTGCCTCGGCCAAGATCATGTTTGCTTGGGGCGGTGTCATTGCAGGTGTTTGAACTACCGATGCAAACCACAGTAGTTGCAATGATATTGCTCAAACAGGTTTGCGCGACACATGAAACAACAATTCCAAGTTTTG